TTTTTATGTTCTTTGATATGAGACACTATTTTTCATATTGACATATTTATATGTGTTCTCATTATCTTCATGTATGTGAGTAAATTTTTAGCATTTTCATCTATGCTTGCTCACATATGTTTGCCATGATCTTCATTTCACATATTCTATATGGTATTTTGATAGGGGGAGCAATCCCTATATCTTTTTATGTTTGATACTCACCCGTGCTTATTGATAGGGGAGCTTTCGCTCTCTTATTCTTTTGTCCCCTTTTTTGATGTTGTCAAAGGGGGAGAAATATTGTGAGTATACATTTATATGCATGTGTATTATCTTGTATATGTTCATTTCCTTCATGCATATATTTCGTTTTGTAAATTGTTTGTCATCATCAAAAAGGGGGAGATTGTTGGCCTTCTTGTTTTGATGATGTTTAACAAACAATTTATTACTAATGTTGNAATCCGTTGAAGGCTGGGGGTTAGCCAAAAATCCTAAAGTCAACACCTAACACGTGTCTGTTGGCCTTCTTGTTTTGATGATGTTTAACAAACAATTTACTTCTAATGTTGTTTGTCTAGTATTTGTGTTTTCTTATTTATTGTAGACAAACAACGTAGTTGGAGGATGGATGGAATAGCGCTTCAACGAAGATATCAAATGGAGGTTGGCGGATATAGTGGATGAAGCCTTGCTATTCAAAGTTAAAGATTCAAGTTCAAGCCTCATCCGCAAGCGTACCAAGTCGAGCTTATTGAAGATCAAGATCTTGCTTGGGTAACATTAGTTTTAGGTTTTATATTATGTGTGTTAGTACTTTAAGCTCAATCATATACACACATACACGCTTTGGTTTTGGTTTTGTATATATACAGTTATATATATACATATATATTTTTGGTTTAATAGGTTTCGAATTTATATATGAAACAAATGAATAGAATTTGAAAATACTATTTTGTTTCATGTTTATATGCCTACATATGATTTCCTCTTTAATAAGCTTATATTTAATAAAATCATATTTAGTGTTTTGTATATATTGCATAGAATATGCAATTTTGTGAAAATATGGTTTTCTTAGTTTTTGGACTTAACAATAATCATATCCATATTTTATTAAGTCTATATAATCATTGTGCAAAGTTTCAAAACATGGTTTAGCCAAAATATCAAATTTCACATGTTTACATTTTTGTGTTTTGAACTATTTTGCAAAATGATGATTTTTCACAAATGGGAAATGCAATTTGGAAAATTCTTTTTGTAACATGTTCACTTACATGTTTATATACTTTTCCCAAAGTTTCATAATTTTTGGACTTCATTTGTTATTTTTAACACATCTTCAAAAGTAACCGGTCGACCGAACCTGAGCTCTCGTGTTCACTGGGCGACAGAAAGTCTGTCGGTCGACCGGTCCGGTCGACCGATGAAATTTTCCGGTCGACCGATGAATTTTCCGGTCGACCGACGAGAGCTCCATCGGTCGACCGATGAAATTTCCGATCGACCAACAGTGACTTTTTCAGCTTCCAACGACTAGTTTTATTACCGTTGCTTTGGGCTGTTTTTATCTTTTTGTTTGGGTTTTTGGCTGAGTTGTGAGAGGGTATAAATACCCCATTGCTGATCTCTTCTCAAGTATCCAAGAATGTTTTAAAGAAGTTTTTAAACAAGGGTTTTAAAAAGAGTTTAAGCTTGTTTAAGCTTGTTTAAGGGTTTAGTTTAAAGCAAGTTTAGCTTGTGGATGAGATCATCTTCTTGTTTGGGCTTCAATCTCCATCTCTCCATCTTGTTATTCAGAGAAGAATCTCTAAACTCATTTCTAGCTATTTATTATTTTGTTTATAATTTCTATATGCTAGATTTTAATTGAGTTTAGTTTTGATTTTGATTTCACTCATTGTTTACACACACCCACTTGAGCTTATTGTATTTGCATACATAGTATATTAGGGTTGTGAGAGATTGTAATATTGAATTGTGCTTCATTGATTTCTCATCTATTGTAGAGAACAAATTTATATTTGTTACATTGTGAGTGTTGTAAGGTTTTCGGGTGAGCTAGAAACCGAGTGTGTTGTGAAGTTTTCGGTGAACTAGAAAACCGAGTGTGAGGAGTGAACGTTGTTCGGTGAGCGTTGAAAACCGACATAGTGTGGTTGTAAACGTTATTCGGGTGAGCGTAGAAAACCTGGTTGTGATAGTGGATTTCTCCTCGGGAGTGAGGAGCGGAGACGTAGGACGGAAGGTCCGAACTCTGTGATCATATTGCTTGTTTGAGTTTGTCTTTGGCGTCATTCATATTTATGTTCATATCTTATATCGCCATTGTCATTAGCTCATTATCTATATCATCCACTATCTTGTTTAGATTGTTAGAACTAAGCGCGCATAATTCAGTAATTTCTGTTTGTTCTCCTAATTGATTGCAATTAAACTCGGCCCAATCCTTTTCCTAAAAAAAAGGATTGAGCCGAATAAAGAATGACCGTCCTATACTATGTGTTTGCATAGATCTTTCATATGTGCAGATCTTATATATACAAGATCTAAATTAAATACAACATCAAATCGAAGACTAAAGAAGTCAATACTTATGTTGTTTATTGTTGGATTCATAGGATTAATTATGGATCCTTGGGATTGGTGGATCATTTTCTATCCTGCAGTTTCAGGCCATAGATAAAGCCAAGGGGGGGCTACTTCTACCCACCCTGTATATTGTCTTTTTCATTTCATGTTACAATAGAAACTTATTATTTTATTTGATTATATGATACGAGATTATACGAGAATGAATTCTTCATTTATAGTATAGGAAGAAATAACTATTTATCTTTTCGATAAGAATTCTTTTGTACATGACATGAGAGAAATCTGTCTTTCTATTTCTAATTGAGGAAAAGATTCTATCATAATATATCATAATATATATATTGAAGTGATACCCGGATTCCCCAAAAAGAAAATCATTTCTTTCAATACTCACTCATTGTTAGTTAACAATTCCAATGGTTGGATCGTATGCTTAATTCTGATAGGAAATAAAATAGTAAAATGATTATTCATCGAATGACTATTCATCTATTATATTTTCATCAAATAGTGAGCATGAGGACTCTATGAAAAAATGGTGGTTCAATTCGATGTTGTCTAAGGAGAAGTTAGAACATAAGTGTGGGCTAAGTAAATCAATGGATAGTCTTAATGCTGTTGGACATACCAGTGGAAGCGAAGAGCCTATTCTAAATGATACGGCGAATAACATTCCTAGTTGGAGTGATAGCGGTAGTTATAGTTTCAGTAATATTGATTATTTATTTGATATCAGGGATAGTTGGAGTTTTATCTCTGATAACACTTTTTTAGTTAGGGACGGTAATGATGACAGTTATTCTGTATATTTTGATATTGAAAATAATAGTTTTGATATTGAAAATAATAGTTTTTTTCTGAGTGAACTAGAAAGTTTTTTTCCCAATTATTTGAATAGTAGGTCTAAGAGTAACAATCACTACTATTATCATTACATGTATGATACTCAATCTAGTTGGAATAATAACATTAATAGTTGCATTGCTAGTTATCTGCGTTTTGAAGTCAGTATTCATAGTTACATTTTCGGTGGTACCGACAATTACAGTGACAGTTACATTTCTAGTTTCATTTCTACTGAAGGCGTAAGCGGTAGTGAAAATAGGAATTCTAGTATCCGAACTGGTGTTAAACGTTCTCCCGTGCTTCCAGACATGCTGAGCTCCAAAAATTCTTGTACATTAAAAAAAAAGAGAATCGATTCCGCAAAAGATGGGATCAGTAAATAGAAAACCACTGATCTTTTTCTAAAAAAGTTCGAAGATAAATCCTTAGACATTTCTTGAGTCGTCTCTAACCTATTTTATTTGTCTCACCTCGTCCTTAGACATTTCTTGAGTCGTCTCTAACCTATTTTATTTGTCTCACCTCGAATCTATTTTTCCTCTTAGGTGCCTAACGGACCTTTTCGTGTCAAATCTTTTCCCGGCGTGACGAAGAAATTATTATAAAACTAGCATTCTTTAAGTTTAAAGAGTCGAGCGGAAAAAGGAAGAGAGCTCTCTGTTCCTGGTTCTCCTGTAGCTGGATTCTCTTGAACCACAAGAATCAATAACTATTTATTGTTGAGAATTACTCTTTGATTTAAACCGATAGTTTCGCGATGATTTCAAATATAAAATTCCAACTATTTGGAAACGAATGGGAAGATAGAAAAATTCGAAGAAGAAAGGATTTTTTGGTTAGATGCATGGAATTAGCTAAACATTTTATTCGAAAAAATGTAGAACCAGAATGGATGGTTTTGTGCCTATTACCATTCCTTCCTCCCGAGTTGAGACCAATCATTCAGATAGATGGGGGTAAACTAATGAGTTCGGATATTAATGAGACCAATCATTCAGATAGATGGGGGTAAACTAATGAGTTCGGATATTAATGAACTCTATAGAAGAGTTAACCTACTCGGGAATCTCCGGATCTATGCTTATTTTCAACTCCCTGAAGCATTTCGTCGCTTGCTACGCCCTTCCATTCCAGAGTTCCTATGTATTTCCACGCCATTTCATTTTTCCTAAACTTTATAGGGGTATTTTTATCTACTGAAAGATTTTCCCAAACTCGTGCTTTTAAAGGGAGTATGATATATATATATATATATATATATATTTGACTCAAACACTTGGTATTACTCCCTTCTTTGCTATCTTTAATAATCAATTTATATCTGTGAAAGAAAGAAATTGACAGGCATATGATCAATATAAGTTTGTAAGCGAGAGGGATATTAATCAGTATGGGTAGAAATACTTATTAGATATCAGAGTCAATGGTATCTAAGTCATAACTATTATTGGATTTGAAACAATGACTCGTACTATATGAAAGTGATACTCTAACAACTGAGTTATGTAGGTCATTTATCTTCACCAAAAAAGGACCCATCACTTTGGGGATTATAGGTGGAATATTATTTCTAAGCAATACCAATCCACTAATGTAACGGTAAACAGATTAGAGAACTATTATGTGGGATGTTATACATTAAAAATCACCAAATCTAATGAGCCCTTGAAAGTTGGTAAGTGTCAAATTAACAGGCCAAGTCGTATGACCAAAAGGCCCGACCTAAGGGACCAACCAAGCCGGCCTTTCTAGCAGACCGACTCTAAGATGAAAGATGTCTTTAAGCCAGAATTCATTAAAGAAGTCTGAATCCTAGATGAAAGGCGTCTTTAGGTCAGAGGCCACCAGGGAACCTTCCAGAGGAGAGATTGACCTATCAGTCTTGTCAATGCTATTTGCATTTCAAGCATGGCTAATAGGCACTCATGCTTGTAGGTGTAAATTTTGATCTCCCGAAAACAGGGAACTTCGTTTGTATTGATAAGAAGGCTTATTACAAACTAATTAATCAAATGTTTACAACAGAAGCGGGGGAAAAGCCCTCCTTGTTTAACGTGGGTTCCTCGGTGGCGATAGGACGCCTCGCTCGGTGGTGCTAGCGGATCTGGCTCTTGACTCAGACAGCCGAGGTGAGCTGCATTTATGAATGTTCAGGTCGACTTGACACCTGCCCAACCATTCGTACTGTGAACGGCCGCTTGACGGTCTTGGGGTACTGTGCCCTCTCCCTTGATTTGTGGGATTTGACCACTGATGTAACTGTTCCCATACTCCAAGTGGGCAGTTGACAGTGAGCTGGCGAGTCTGCAGCTTGGGTCTGCAGGCGAGCTTAGGACTGCAGGCAGACTTGGGTCTGCAGGCGAGCTTGCAGGCGAGCTGAGTCTGCAGGCGAGTTTGGGACTGCAGGCAGACTTGGGGTCTGCAGTCTGCAGGCGAGCTAGCAGGCGAACTGGGTTTGCAGGCGAGCTCAGGTGCGCAGGCAGACTTGGGTCTGCAGGCGGATTTGATACTGCAGGCGATCTTCAAGCCGTTAGGCGAGCTCTATAGCATGGATCGAAGAATAGGCCGTAACTTTCAAACCGTAAGTCGGAATTGGACGAATTATATATGAAAATCGCCTATCTCGACGAGATGGGGCCATCCGAACCAAGCCAAAGGCTTTGGTTCACTTCCTCCGTTTCGCCAAATTCCTTACGGTTTGGGAGATATCTGCGTTTTCCCCTTTTTCTGCTATTTCGGGCGAGGTTTTAGCAGTTTTGTTCTGAACTTCTCTGATAAGGATTAAAGGCAATTTTTATTGCCTACAATGCTTTATCACCCAGTCGCCATCGTAATAAATGCATGACATGTGTCATTATGACTCTTCAGACGTCGTGTGCACTTTCGCCATTTTTTGCTATCACATTAAATGTGAGGTTAGCATCACTTTACACCCACGCAATTGGCCTTCGACATGTGTGAAGTGGAAATAGAAAGCTAGCTCCACCGGTCGGGTCAGATTACCAAAGTGTCCCCCCACAAATCCTCTATAAATAGTGAATAACACTATACTAAGGTACGTCAAATCAAAATCCTAGACTAGATTCGACATTCTCTCTTTAGATTGTTTTATCTATCACTAAATTGAGTGTCAGAGGGCACACGAGGGGAACCT